CGAACTACTGTGACATTAACAATATATCTCATATATTACATTTAATTTAAATGAAATTAATTAATTAATTCCGTAAATAGTTTAATCAATATTATTACACGGAATAGAAATAGAAAATTATTTTTATTGCATCTTATTTAAATAAAAAATAAAATTCTGTTAATTCGTTTAACCATAGTATATGTGAATACACATTTTAGTAACGAATAGCATAACGTGATTGTATTTAGTTTTAATTTATAATAAATTTATCAAAAATGATTAGAAAGTGATTACCGATTGGTTAATTAAATAATTTATTTATGAGAGATTATAAATTTAATTCTTATATATATATATATATATATTTATTTAAATATTATTTTTATACTGTAAATTAAGCTGACACGAAGATAAATCTAATTTGTATTTGTGTAATACACTTGAGTCAAACTTTGTGACCTGGAGTTTGGAAATTGAACTTGTCAAGAAAGGAATTGCCGAATTAAGTTGGTGAAAATTCAAAATAATTAAGCTTGCCCCTTTATACACACACACATATATGTATATATATATATATTTGGGTCCTTTTTCTATTTTTACAGTATTATACAATCATGAATCTGCGAATCAGTCTCTAGTCAAAGAGTTGGTTTTTCTAAATGAAGATTACAACCAGAATACGTTGAATTAAAACCAAGTTTTGTCAAGGAAGATTATACTGACTTTAGAAACATAACTTTGACTATCAAACGCAAGTTAAAATGGATTAAACACTTTAAGGATACGTGTATTAATCGTTCACGAAGAACGACAGAAGGTTAAGGATCCATGTATTAGTTATTATTATTATTATTTTGTTTCTAGATTTCTATGTTAATATGATTTCAATAAAGTACTGTTCGTATTATTATATATTAGTTAAATTATAATTAAAGTCTATTTAATCTGTTACTAAAAAGATTGAACCGATCTCATCTTATTGTATATATTTTAGATAAATATATATTTATCTAAACATACAAGATCCAAAATATAAAATTTTATAAAAATAAAATAAAATCATAATTCTAATTTAATTATATAAATTCATAGTAGATGTTTTTGTAATTTGTTCATTAACATACGAGATTAGAAAATTTATTATATATAATTTAAAATATGAATGATTCTATACGTAAGAAATAATCTACCAAATTCCTAGTTATGAAGTTGTTGCAGCTAGTTATTGCGAGAAATTTAATTCTTATAAGTAAATGCTCAGTACCCAAGACAATTTATAAAGTTAATCATAATTTCGTATTTTTTAGATCGTCTAAAATTTTTGCGATTAATTCTTAATTTTTAAAATTATATTGAGATTTTTCACATGCAAAAAATTTATTTGTCACTAATAAAGTTTAACATCTATTCTTTTTTAAATCTTATGTTTCACTCTGATAGTATTATAAATTTGAGTCGATATAAAAGAAATAAATATATTTATAAACATTAATTATTTTATTAAATAAGTAAAACATAACTAAAAACATAATATGAATTATGATTATTTTGATATCGTTATGCATCGAATATGTAAATTACTATAATTATTTTATATAAAACAAACTAGGATTTAAGAACAAAAATATAACAAGAGTAACCTCATCCAAATCTTTTTTTTCTTTTTTGTTGGTTCTTATTTTTAATGTATGTAAAATTTCAATGTGGGCAAGATTAATTTGTTTTTGAATTGTATTATATATAACCAAAAATTATTTCCAAAGTCAATGGAAAATTACCCAAAGGTGGCATACGAACAGATATTACAGCGTCATCAACATGGGATCCATCATGTGCCTATAAATATACCATCATATGCATCTACTCAAACACAAAATAAAACAAGATGAGTTCAGTCATCACTTCACTTTGCTTCCTCTTCCTCTTATCCTCTATCTTCCCTGCTTTCGTATCTCCAGCAGTTCTGTTTCAGGTATCTCTCCATCTTCTTCTTCGTTTTCTCTAGGTTTCTTTCTAGTCATGGTATTGCCATATTACGAAGTTAGACTCCTTCGCTGTGTAATGTAACAGGGTTTCACTTGGGCCTCATCGGAAAAACGAGGAGAATTATACAATTTCTTGAAGAACTCTGCTACTGATATTGCTAATGCCGGGATTACTCATGTCTGGCTGCCGCCTCCTTCTAATTCCGGCGCCGATGCACCCCAAGGTTACAAACCAGCAAAGCTGTATGATCTCAACTCAAACTACGGAACTCGGGATCAACTCAGCTCACTCATTGCAGCTTATCATCAAAGCGGGATAAAATGCATGGCTGACATTGTAATTAACCACAGAAGCCCAGAGCGCCAGACAGAGACCGATATATTCTTCGAAGGAGGGACACCAGATGATCGTCTTGACTGGGGACCCGCCATGGTCTGTAGCACCGACAAGAACTTCCCTCACGGCACCGGCAATCCAGACACCGGCGATGACTTCCCTTTCGCCATTGACATTGACCATACCAATCCCAGAGTGCAAAACGAGCTATCGGATTGGCTCAATTGGTTGAAAACAGAAGTCGGTTTTAATGGCGGATGGCGAATTGATTACGCAGTAGGGTTCGCGCCAAGCATTACCAAAATTTACGTGGATCGGACAAAACCCGATTTGGCAGTTGCAGAGTATTGGCATCCTCCCTGTAACGAAAAGCTCCCTCCGGGAGATAACAGAAAGCGCGATGAGCTGCGGAAGTGGATTCAGGATGCCGGCGGAGTGGTGGCTGCATTTGATTTTCCTTTGAAGGAATCTCTTCAGGTTGCGGTGACGGGAGAGTTGTTCCGGTTGAATAACACCGACGGAAAACCGCCGGGATTGCTCGGAGTTTTGCCGGAGAAAGCGGTGACGTTCATCGACAATCACGACACTTGGTCTCAAGATTTTTGCAAATTCCCAAGTGATAAAGTGATGCTGGGTTATGTTTATATCCTCACCCACCCTGGCACTCCCACCATTGTAAGTTCTTCCTGTTCTCTACCCTTTAATTTACTCATATTCCACGGCCGATTCGGAAAGTATTTAGGTAGGTCTGAAATTCGCAAGGAAAAAATAAACTGGTTCTGGTTTTTGCAGTTTTATGATCATTACTTTGAGTGGGGCTTAAAGGAGCCGATTACCAACATTTTGGCGATTAGGAAGAAGCACGGGATCAATGAAAGAAGCAGGGTTAAGATTCTAGCGGCACAATCTGATCTGTACGTGGCGGAGATCGATGAGAAAATCATAATGAAAATTGGGCCAAATGGGGGTCTTGGAAATCTTATTCCTCCGAATTTCAAGCTGGTTCCAAACGGCGCCGGAAAGGACTATGCTGTATGGGAGAAGATATGAAATGACAAGAATGCCCTTATAGTAATAATAACAATATAATAATAATAATAATAATAATAATTTAGTAATATGGAGGGGAGATTCCTCCAAAACATGAGTTTATGTAAAAGTAATAAAATTTAATAAATAATTTTTCATTTTCTTCAAAAATCACTGAATAATCTCATTCTTTTTTTGAAATTAAAAATATATAATATCAAATAAAATTAAACTTTTATCTAATTCCCTTATTCTTTTCTCTTTAATTTTTTAGTTACTAAAGAATTACGTTAAATAAAACAAAAGTATTTTTCAATATCTTATTTCTCTAATTTTTAATAAAAAAGTTTTATGAAAACGTAAATAAATGTTTTTTAAATAAAAATTCGTACATTAATTAATTAATTAATACATATATACTAATTATAAAACAACATCTAATAAAAACACACAAAATTGTAACAATATTTACCATTCAACCAAAAATAAAAAAAATAAACGGGAAATAATATAATATTTTATCATGTCAGACCCAAATTTATTTTGAATGACAAATTTTTCTCCTCTAACTCAATTTTCTACTTTCTTCAGAAAAAGAAGAAAAGCTCAATTTTCTACTTTCGCCACTATATATATATATATATATATATATAAACATATATGTGTGTGTATATATATATATCAAAGTAGTTTTCACTTAAAACACTTCCTGAAACTGGGCGGAAGACTTGGACTGTCTTTTTTCCGTTTGGACTTGTCTTAACAGAGGATATTTTGATTCTATTCTTATGAATCTGATCAATTCCAGTTCTCTTTCTTTTTTCCACTCTCTACTCAAATCCTGCATTGAAGGCAAAAACCCAGAATCCCCGTTGATTATTTTCCGCCAACTGTTACAGTTCAATTTGAAACCAAATGACTTCACTTTCTCTTTATTCCTCAAAGCCTCTACTTCATCTCCTTCACTATTCTCTGTTTATGATTCAATTAGTCCAACGCTAGAAGCCGATCAAATTCGAACGCACATGGTAAAATCGGGTGTTGATCAGTTTGTTTATATAACTACAGCTACCCTTGACTTGTATACGAAATTGAATTGCGTTAAAGTTGCACGACTGTTGTTCGATGATATGCCTGAGAGAGATGTTGTCGCATGGAATGCCCTAATTTGCGGGTATTCACGTAATGGATATGATTTTGATGCACTGGAGAGTTTTGTTCAAATGCTCAGAGAGGGTTTTTCTCCTCGCGAGACGACGTTGGTTGGCTTGATTCCTTCTTGTGCGCAGCGGGAGATTGTGTTTCAAGGGAAATCCGTTCATGGATTTGGAATTAAAACTGGCCTCCACTTTGATTCTCAAGTGAAGAATGCTTTCACCTCTATGTACGCTAAGTGTATGGATTTGGAAGCAGCGGAGTTATTGTTTGAGGAAATGTTTGCCAAAGATGTAGTTTCTTGGAATACCATGATTGGTGCTTATGGACAAAACTGTTATTTTGATGAGGCTATGCTTGTTTTCAACTACATGCTGGAGGAGGGTGTGGAAGTAAATTCAGTCAGTCTTGTAAGCCTTCTGTTGGCTAATCCTAACCCTGAGACTATTCATTGTTTTGCTATTAAAATTGGCCTCATTAATAATGCTTCTGTTCTTACTTCTTTAATTTGTGCATATGCAAGATTTGGAAAGACAAACTCAGCAGAATGGCTTTACTGGTCAGCGCCCAAGGAGAATTTGGTCTCATTGACTGCAATTATTTCAAGCTATGTTGAAAAAGGAGATACAGAGTCGGCCATGGCATGTTTCGCACGAATGCAACAGTTGCAAATGAAAGTGGATGCTGTTGCTATGGTTAGCATTCTCCATGGCTTTACAGACCTCAGTTACATGGATATTGGGGCTGCTTTCCATGGTTATGCAATTAAAAGTGGGCTATGCACTCACTATTTGGTTGCAAATGGACTGATAACTATGTATTGCAAGTTCAACAACATTGAAGCTATGGTCTGTTTGTTCTCTGACATGCATGAGAAGCCTCTAACTAGTTGGAACTCATTGATATCTGGCTGGGTGCAGGCTGGAAAAGCGAGGGATGCCATGGAGGTGTTCCGTCAAATGAATCTCTGTGGACATGGTCCAGATGGGGTTACTATTGCCAGTTTGTTAACAGGGTGTTCGCAACTTGGAGACTTGCAGGTTGGAGAGGAACTTCATGGTTATCTTCTTCGAAATAATCTACAAGTGGAAGATTTTGTTGGTACTGCTCTTATCAACATGTATGCCAAGTGTGGGAGCATAGAGGGTGCAGAAAGGGTGTTCGAGTGCATAAAATTTCCATGTTTGGCAACCTGGAATGCAATGATATCAGGCTACAGTTTGTGTGGATTTGAGCACAGAGCTCTGGCTTGTTACTCTAAAATGCAAGAACAAGCATTAAAACCTGATGATATCACTTTCTTAGGACTTCTGGCTGCTTGTACTCATGCGGGTCTTGTTCATGAGGGAAGAAAGTACTTCAAAATGATGACAGAAGAATTTGGTATAGTCCCAGATTTGCAACACTGCACGTGCATGGTTGGTCTTCTCGGTCGTGCAGGCTTATTTGAGGAGGCACTTCTGTTTATCAAGAATATGAAGATGGATCCTGATTCAGCAGTTTGGGGAGCATTGCTTAGTGCTTGTTGCATTCACAGAGAGGTCAAGCTCGGGGAATGTTTAGCTAAGAAATTATATTTAATGGATAACAAAAATGGTGGCCTTTATATATTGATGTCAAATCTGTATGCTGTTAAAGGAATGTGGGATGATGTAGAGAGAGTGCGAGAGATGATGAAGGACATGGGAGGCGATGGCTTTTCAGGAGTTAGTCACTTACATTTCAAGGAAGTTTATCTTAAAGCTAATTCTTTTGACCATTTATTCTCATAATGACTTATTTATACATACACCAACCTTGTCTACAGATTGCACACAGCAAACTACCTTCCTACATGTAATTATGTGATTTACACTAAATTGTTAGCGGGTGGCAAAACGATCGTTGGTTTTACTTCGAAAAAGAAAAAAAAAAAAAAAAGGGACAACCTTGAATCTTTTTTGTTCGTTTTATGATGCCACATAGTATATGAAATTACTTACTAGTTTATATTTTTTAAACATATATGTGTTCATCTACAAAAGTTTATAATTTAATTAATATTAAAAATAATGATGGTGAAGATTTCTTAATTTTAAAAAATTGTGTAAGTGCTTGTAGAAAATTATAATTAATTTTTTTTATTTTTTAAATCTATAAATATGCAAGTTTCAAATACTTTCATAAATAAAGATAAAAAAATTTTAAAAAATAAAAGTTTAAAAATATTTTTATGTACCAAACATAACCTAAGTTATCTTATTAAATATATTTTAGTTAAAATTAAGTGAATTACATCAATTAAATTGAATAATACAATTTACTATTTATTCTTCTTGTTGGCCTATATTTATAATATGTCATAAAATTTAATTTTATAATTTAAATAGTTATAAGTTAAGAGTTAAATTGCGAACCATAATCATTTTTTGTTGCTTAAACATTATAATCAATTTAAAATATATATAGAGTCCGGGTACATACAGGGTCCAGATCTGGACAGAATAACCCGATTGGACAAATGTAGGATCCCCGGACACCGGGAGTAGCCGGTGACCCCCTCAGCCTCAACGCTTCGATTGGCTAACATCATTCATTCAAAACCCTAAATTATTGTATAAACCATGCTTGAAGGCTCCAATTTCAAAATTTGAACTTGGCGCTCTTCACTTTTCAATCTCCGTTTTTTTTTAAAATTATTTGTCTCATCGATCTCTCAAAAGCAAACAATTCCTTCTCTCAATTCTGATCTTTAATTGATTCTAAACACATCCCAATAATGGGTGGCGCTCACAGTCGCGAAGATCTTGATATCTCAGACTCGGATGCAGAAGACGAAGAACAGGAAGGTGAAGAAGAGGAGGAAGACTACCAAGATTCCAAAGATGACACCCCTGACAGATCATCAGGTCGCAGGGCCAAAACTCCTTCATCTCTTGATGAAGTAGAGGCCAAACTCAAAGCTTTGAAGCTCAAATACCCGTCAAGCCAGAACCCTTCTGTCAAAAATGCTGTGAGGCTTTACCTTCACGTCGGTGCAAACACACCCAAATCCAAATGGATCACATCAGAGAAGTTTGCATCTTACTCTTTCGTCAAGACATCAAAACTAGACGGTCAAGAAGAGGAAGACGAAGACGAGGATGATGAAGATGCTGGAGAAGGAGAATCTTGGTGGGTCCTGAAGGTTGGTTCTAAGATTCGAGTGAAAGTGTCGGAAGAGACGTATTTGAAGACCTTTCCAGAACAACGTCGAGTTGATTTTGTTGCTCAAGGTGTTTGGGCTATGAAATTTTTTTCTGATGAGGATTATAAAGGTTTCGTAACCAAGTATAATGATTGTTTGTTTGAGAACGTATATGGGTTTGAATCAAACGAAGTCAACAAAGTTAAGGTATATGGGAAAGATTTTATTGGGTGGGCAAACCCTGAAATCGCCGATGATTCAATGTGGGAAGATGCTGACGATAGTTTACTGAAAAGCCCCGAAGCTTCAACGCCAGTTCGGGCAAGTCAGGATTTGAGACAGGAATTTGAAGAGGCAGCGAATGATGGCATACAAAGCTTGGCGCTGGGTGCTTTGGATAACAGTTTCTTGGTGGGTAATTCTGGTATTCAGGTTGTTAAGAATTTCAGTCACGGGATTCATGGAAAAGGTGTGTATGTGAATTTTGATACGGAGAGTTATAGAAGTGGCTCGAGTTTGGTTCATTCAACACCCAAAAAGGCTCTTCTTATGAGGGCTGAGACTAATATGCTGCTCATGAGCCCCATGGATGTAAAGAAACCTCATTCTACTGGACTCCATCAGCTTGATATTGAAACCGGTAAAATTGTTACAGAGTGGAGATTTGAGAAGGATGGAGTGGATATCACCATGAGGGATATTGCAAATGATAGCAAAGGAGCCCAACTGGACCCATCTGGATCAACGTTTTTGGGGCTGGATGATAACAGACTTTGCAGGTGGGACATGCGTGATCGGAAAGGCATGGTTCAAAATCTTGCGACTGCCGATACCCCTGTTTTGAATTGGGCCCAAGGACATCAATTTTCCAGAGGGACTAACTTCCAATGCTTTGCATCGACTGGTGATGGCTCAATAGTTGTTGGGTCTCTCGATGGGAAGATCAGACTCTACTCTAGCAATTCAATGAGACAGGCAAAGACAGCTTTTCCTGGTCTTGGTTCACCTATCACTCATGTGGATGTTACCTTTGATGGGAAATGGATATTGGGTACAACTGACACATATTTGATTCTCATCTGCACGCTTTTTACTGACAAAGATGGTAAGATGAAGACTGGCTTTAATGGCCGTATGGGAAATAGAATTGCAGCTCCACGATTGTTGAAGTTGTCTCCCTTAGATTCGCAGTTAGCCGGAGTTAATAACAAGTTCCGTAGTGCTCAGTTTTCGTGGGTAAGCATATGCAGATACATATATCTTATGCTTTTATCTCCTGCTCTGAACATTTAATTTAGAACTAGGAGATTTGTTCGAATATTCTGCCTACTATGACCATTTTGTTTTGTGCTTAAGTGCTTTGCCCATCCTTTCAAATTACGCAATTTGCTTTGTTTTTGGACAATGGTTTCTGAGTGCCGTTGACAAGCTTTATGTGGTAACTGATGTTGCTTTTCTTTTTCCTTTTTCCTATTAAATTTTTGTTCTTCTCTGTTGTTACTTAGGAATTCTAGGATTATATTTTATAAGGGTACTTATTTGTTAGAAACTTAGGTCATCGGATGTTAACAGTTGTATGTTTAAATAACTTAGGTCACAGAAAATGGGAAGCAGGAGCGCCATTTGGTTGCAACAGTGGGCAAGTTCAGTGTCATATGGAACTTTCAACAGGTCAAGAATGGGTCTCATGAATGCTACCGTAATCAAGAAGGTCTGAAGAGCTGCTACTGTTACAAGATAGTTCTAAAGGATGACTCAATTGTCGATAGTCGTTTCATGCACGATAAATTTGCAGTCACTGATTCTCCCGATGCCCCACTGGTGATTGCAACGCCATTGAAAGTCAGCTCCTTCAGCATGTCTAGCAGGCGATGACATGCTGGGATGTCACCCTAGTCATGACCACTTTATTTTTAGATTTTTGAAGAACTTGTCCACTGTGTTTTTAGATCTCTGTTTCATTAGGTTTGTAGTCGTGCTGCAGATAAATCTGTTGTTGTGTCAAGTACTTTGGGTGATTCCCAACTCAAGCTTTTCAATTTGGTTGTTTAGTTATTACTGAAAGCAGATATTGCTTTCTCTTCTCTGTATGAAAAGAATTTATGTAGAGACTCTCTTAGTGCAAGATAAATTCCTTTTACTATTTTACATTCTTGTTAAATAAGATTTACTTGAGTTGTCTACCTCAGGCTCAGCCACCCTATCTGTAATGGGTTGCGCTAAGCGTTAGAAAAGTGGACCCAAGTTTCTTCATTGAATGACAATTGTGTAAGTGGTTAGAGACGAAAGAAGATGGCGGTTGCAGGAGTAAGCTTCTTTGTCCAGCCACGCTCGTCTTCTTCATCATCTTTTTTCTGCAACAACATACACAGAGAGCCATTTGGTGTCACAAGCACATCTTGGTCTACTAAGCCAAGGACGTGCGCAGTGGTAGTTGAAGCTCAGCAGCGACCCACGTGGCTCCCTGGGCTCGACCCTCCTCCCTATCTCGATGGAACGTGAGCCCCATTTGTCTATGTTGAGGTTGGAGTTGATTTGCGTAATCGATTTATTGTTTGAGGTTGTTTTTTTTTTTTTTTGAATGGTTGAAGTTTGGCTGGAGATTATGGGTTTGACCCACTTGGGCTTGGGGAAGATCCGGAAAGCTTGAAGTGGTATGTGCAGGCAGAGCTAGTTCATGCTCGCTTTGCCATGGTTGGAGTTGCTGGAATTTTGTTCACTGATGTAAGTGCCATTTGCATCTTTAAATGAATATGTCTTTTTCTGGGGAGTAGTGACTGTTTGTTTGCAGATACTTCGTGTGACAGGAATCAGCAACATACCAGTATGGTATGAAGCAGGTGCCGTGAAATTTGAATTTGCCAGCACAACGACTTTGATTGTCGTCCAGCTATTGTTGATGGGGTAAATTTACTTAGTTAATTCTTCCTCTGCGTCTTGTTCGTTGTAAATTCTGAATTGGAATTCTGGACAGATTCGTGGAAACCAAAAGGTATATGGATTTCATTAGTCCTGGATCTCAAGCCAAAGAGGGATCCTTCTTTGGATTGGAAGCAGCTTTAGAAGGACTTGAACCTGGGTATTTTTTTCTTCCTCACTTGCTCATCCTACCAGCTTGAAGATTCTACCATTCTTGATATAAGAACACAGGATTTTTTTACCCAAATTGATCCAACACATATACGCCTTGAGAAAATATGGAGTTTAACTGCACTCTGTTTATTCAGCTACCCTGGAGGTCCTCTGCTAAATCCACTTGGTCTTGCCAAAGACATCAGAAATGCCCATGATTGGAAACTGAAAGAAATCAAGAATGGTGAGGCTTGTTCACTTGCTGCTGCATTATTATAGTTATCCTATCTGTCTTTAAGCTCAAAGTCTTTATGCAGGAAGACTTGCAATGATTGCAATGCTTGGTATTTTTGTCCAAGCTTATGTGACTCATGCAGGACCTATTGACAACCTTGTGCAGCACCTCTCAAATCCATGGCACAACACTATCATTCAGGTCCTCACCCACTAGTGTGCTTCTTCAATGTATTCCGTAAAATGGCATCTTTGCAATATCATTTGGCTTGTAAGAAACAAACAAGTTCTGCAAACTTTTATTTTCAGATTCATCATCCAAGATTTTGTACACAAGAAAGTTTAATTCTTCAATCTCTCACTTTAGTGTTTATTCCAATTCATTTCAATGTCTGCAATGACAGCATTCTTGAGTTGTTTGGTGAAATAGTATTTTCCGAATTTGGTAATAAGCTTTCTCAGATTGGGGAGAGATTTAAGCTCCTTGGCAAGATGCTGCAAGTAAAGTCAATCAAAACCTATACTGTAATTTTTTTCATAGTTTATAAAATAGCATTTTCACAATATTGAGGAAAACTTTTCTACTTCATCCACACATCATGCCATCCGAAACAGATCACTATAATTTTGCATTTCAACTAAACAAAAAACCAGGCAAAAAAGAGTTATTTCATTGGACCAAACTCAAATTTTTTACATGAGTAGGTTCAAACTGTCACAATTACATACATGATAAAACCATCTTATGGCTTCGTCAGCCACACACTACCAACAAACTTGTCTCTCCTCCACAGCCACCAATATCCAACAACATCATCCTTTTTCACTGAGTAAAAATATGTTCTGGTAACTATATCATACATGACAAAAATGTAACCACCATTTACATACTAAGGGCTATTAAACGATACCCAGCCCAATGAGAGATATAAAATCATAACAGTAAAGACCATATATATGTGGTTTGAGCAAAAGCTACATCACTTGGACGAATGTGACTTCCTCCTGGACAAAAACATAAAAATCCTAGGGAACAAAGGCTTCTTCTTTTTCTTTCCAATCTTTGCTTCAGGGAGGGGATTAATTTCAGGGTTACTTCCATGCCCATATGCCTTTGGGCTTGTCATCTGCTGGGCAACAGCAGATGGTGTCCGGTCAAAGTTCTTTGATTCTTTCTTCACCTCAAAACTTGCTCTTGGGCTTTTTGAGGGGTTCCCTCCATGACCTGACTCACCAACCTTTCGGCGTTGCTCATGCTCAGCCCTCCACTTTCTCAACTCTTGTTCAACACCCAACTTTCCTTCCTTGGCCTTCTCAGCCTTTTCCATTGCAATTTTTAATGCTTCCTTTCTAGCAAGCATCTCCCGATTCACTTCTTCCAACTTTTGCAAGCTTCTTGACTCAGACTCCTTAGCTACCTCAATTTGAGAAATGGCAACAGCCACCCTCATGTTGGCCTGCTCCTCAGCGTCATGAGCACGCTTGCTAAGCTCATAGTACTCTTCTAAAGAAAGTGTTACACTTGAATTTGAATTGACATCATTGCTGCTTTGAGCAGACGCACTCTCTTGCAATGCCTTAATAGCTGCTAAGGCCAAATTTTCTGAAGCTTTGGCAGCCTCTGTTTCCTTCTGAGCAGCAAACAATCTACTTCGCATGGTACTCAATGCAGCCTTTGCTTGCTCTGCTTCTTCTTTTGCCTTGTGCAGCTCTTCATGTGCTGACTTAGCAAGTGACTTTGCCTGGTCAGCGTCTTCTGCTGCCCTTTGTAGTTGCTTGGGGAGCTCTACCATCTTTTCCCTAGCTTCTTTTTCCTTCATTTGAACAACAGCAATTTCTGACCTTGTCTGATCCAATTCAGCTTCAAGAGAAGCAACTGCAATTGCTGCCATTCCTTCTCTTTGTTTGATGGTGGCAAGTGCTGACTTTTCCTCTTCAAGCTCTGATTTTAATGATGTAGCAGCCACCTTCAAGCAATTCACTTCAGCCGTTGCTTTCTCAATATTGTGCTTCACTTCTTCAAGCTCCTTCTTTGCTGAAGCAACTGCTGTCTGTATATCAGTATGAGTTTTCTTCTCTGCTGCATCTAATTCAGTATTTGAGTCTTCATCAGCTTCCTCCTTCAGTTTAGATTCCATATAAGCTGCTAATTCACCCTTCAAATCAAGAAGCAAGGCTGAAGCAGTGTCTAGCTTTGATTTGAGATCCTTGGCAGAAAGAATTTGCTGGTTTAGCCTCTGCAACTCCTCTTCTGCATGCTTCAGTTCCTTCTCCCAATGGTGAGAATCTTGGTCTCTTGCCAAGGCTGCCCCTATTCTTTGTTCTTCTGCTTCTAGATGTGCAGAGTGTGCAGATTCTAAGGATTCCTTTGTAGCAATAAGCTCTATTGTCAGTTCCTCCACTGTTCTCTCAACATCCTTGGACGCAGACATAGCCTCCTCAGCTTTCTTCATAGCCATATCTCTCTCAGCCACCAAAGAATCAAAGTCTCTGCGTAGTGTTTCCAGCTCATCCTTGACAGACTGCAGCTCTGAAACTGCAGCTGCATGTCTGGCTTTTGCAACCTCAAGCTGTGCCTTGGCTGCAACACTAGCCTCATCAGCAATCCCTTGTTCCATCTCTTCCACCCTAAGCTTGGCAAGCTCAGAATCCTGTTTTGCTTGATGCTCTTCTGTCTGTGCCCTCTCCAGGTTTAGCTTTAGATCCTCTATGAGTCTCTTTGTGCTGTCTAGTTCCTTGAGTACTTGCATTTTTGCCTCTTCAGCAACCTCAGACCGTTTCTTATACTCGGGCATCTCCTCCTGTACTTTATCAAGTTCTTGTTCTACAAGTTTACGTCTCTATACGGCAGAAAGAAATTCATGTCACTTTTATTGAACATGAGGATGCTAAAATCTCTTAAGCAGGGATAGTGCTCAATCAAATGCAATTAGGGAGAAAGTTGGGAAGCCATTGTACTATTTGCATATCAATTCAAGAAGCAAAGCAGCGATAGGAAAAAGATGAAACTTTCACACTAAGAGTTAGGACCTTTGTCTCTTTCTCTTTCTACTAATCGTACCAAGTATTTGTTAAATCGTAATACTTGCATGCTTAGAAAGACGCCTTCATTATATCTGCATCAAGGCACAGCAGTACAGTAGCCAGTAACCACATTCAGTGACCAACACAACAAGGGACCATAATCATGATTTTCCAATTTCACGTAAGAAATGTGTGATTTTAGAATTTGATATAAGAGCTCTAGTCAACAACATAAAATTGACCTTTTCAAGGCCAGGGAAGGATGAAAAAATTGGCGGACCCATGCTGCTTTTATCCAGGCATTACAATAATCAAATCATGACCCAATGAGATTTGTAGATGCAACTTTGAAAACTGTCCATTAAACAACCACAGAACATCAAATGCCAAGGCAACTAAATCCATTAAACTTTGAGTCAGATAGGCCTATAGAAAATAGTGCACATCGTCATGCAAGTGCTTTGGAAGCAAATGTTTTTAGGGCTGAATTGTAAAGGATCCTACAGAATACCTTACATCTAGATAAGTCTTGCATTTCAAGACCACTACTCTGTCGCCACAATCATCTGTACAATCACAATATGCCACAATTCTCCATAACAAACTTTCTCTCACAGCAATAACTTTCCATTACAAAAGAAACATTCACAAATCCACAGTTTAGTTTATTCTCCTCCTAATTTTTACCTTGTTCGTTCGCTAACACTATGTATGGAACAAATTTAAAAATGTCAAGAAATTTATTTGTAAATCTACACTTAAATCAACAAGGAGACGATGTAAAATCTTTAGGATGACAAACAATTGAGTTCACAGGGAATTCCATATGAAATCAAGACAATGTACTATAGATTTCATCAAATTTAAAATGTATTATTTTAATTCTATATACAATTTCTTATCTCAAAAAGTTCTATATACAATTTCATATGAACTCAAACTTAATCATTTTAGTTAGGACTCCTCTCATCTTAGTCAAAATAAATATGGATTAAAAAATAAATTCCGCACAACTTTTTAATTTATTCTAAACTAATTACTTAAATAGTTGATATATGATTGCATCATCACTTTAATGTTTGGACCACTTTACTTCCTTTGGAGGAGAATTTTCAATTTTTATTTTGAGAAGTAGATTTGGCAATCTTCCTCCAATGAGTTAAAGGTGTCACTACGTTAATTCAAATATTAAAATTGTGGTAAATTAAAGAGTAAACTCAAATAGGATGATAAGGGAACCAAAATAATAAACCTAACTATACTACATATCCAGGATACACTATATCCAATAAAATACAATTAGACCTACAATAATTCACTAAATATGCTCAAAATTTTAGTTTTGGAGAAATAGCAACCAAGTTGAGACTCCAAGAACATACTATTAGAAATATATATGAATCGACCAAACATACTCATCATATAAAAAGTAACAAATTTGAGAAAGGATTTCCTTTTACATCCCTTTACGAAAATACCTCCATAAGCTGATTAGAAGGTGCTATACTTAATTGATACGAAGCAGCATCTTACATTGAAATCCAAGAAAAACATACCTCTACAGTTTGGAGCCTATGGGCTTTCCAATCAGTGATTCCTCCAAATTTTGAAACTGCTTCTTTAACAGATTCAAAAGGTGCTGCTGTATCAATAAGGCCTCTGTTTAAGTCAACAACTTTTGGAGATCTAACAGCTATTGGTGATCCAACAGCTCTAGGGGATCCAAGGGCCCTCGGCGACATTGCCCTTGGTGACATGGCCCTCGGTGAAATGACTCTTGGTGATCCAAAACTTCTGGGTGATCCAACAGTCGCCCCAGCAACCCTCAAATGGGGTTCAGTAAGGTCATTGGATATCTGTGCTTGGTGATCATTGTTGGAATTTCTTACTTTCGGAGATGAAGTAGAAGGTACATTCAAGTCATCTGTACGAACTCGGGTTGAACTAATAGAACCAGCAAGATGAGATTGTGTGCCTTCAGTTTTAGAATCTGTGGTCCCTGTAATTTTATGGCCTGTAAGAGCTTTCGGTGATGAAACATCTCCCATAGATTCAGAAGTATCAAGCATGAAATTGGCTTTAGAATCCTCTATCACTGACCCAGGATGTTTTGTCACAGATCCCCCTGTGGCAGCTCCTGGAAATCCGGCAGCTCTGGGTGATTCAGCTACTCTTGGTGCTTGACAATTACCTTTTGTGCCTCCACTGTCAGAATCTCCCATCAACACACCTTTATTATTTATCACAGCTCCTGGTGATCCCACAGCTCTTGGTGATCCCACAGCTCTAGTTGATCCCATAGCTCTTGGTGATCCAACAGCAATTTTGTTAACCTTCAAAACAGGCAGGGTAACTTCATAGCATGGCAATACATGTTGATTAGTTTCATTATCTCTTCCCTTAGGAGAGGAAGTGGAGGCTATAAGTACTTCGTTAGGACGAGCATCAACACTGACAACAGAATCAGTATCTCGATATCTCTGACCATCAAGTGTGTCTTGCTCAGTCTTAGAACCTTCCAACGCAATATTATGATGATTGATCTCATGAGGAAGTGCCAAAGTGGAAGTAGAATTATCCGTCAGAAGAGTTTGTAGTGAATCACCAGAAGCATCTTTTGCAGATGATGATTTCGAATTTTCGACCACTGATGACTGGGAGTCAGGTCCGAGTTTACCATTAATTGGGTTCATTGGAGGTTCGGTAGAAGCATGAGCATTATCCTCAGAAGATGAAGAGGGTCCTAGAGGAGCTATTGCTTCAGAAGTTTTTACATCCTCCATTTGAAGAGTCTTTCAAGGTAGCCCACGTAAGATAACTGAAATATCCAACAAAATGGAAATGAAATTAGTAAAGGAGCAGCAAAAGGAGGGCAGAGAAACTATAGTTTAATTTAAGTAATTCTTGGAAAACGAAAAAAAATAATTTATGTGACTTTCTTAGATTAAAGAAAATATTATAGCCAAAGAAATGATTTGGATTTAATTCACTATATAATCAATAAATCAAAATGTTATATAGAAAACCAGCCTTGTTGTATCAAGAGTTTAGCATTAGATCTTTGTTTTCCACAGCTAATGTTAATTTCCACGTTTAGATGCTGCCAAAATGAGACCAGGTATGATTCAAACATGCAATCAAGTCATAATGCATGATTTCACAAGAATTTTAAGCAAACAGCGATCAAATACTGTTATTATAAGCTTGAGCTACAAAATTAATTATAATCACTAACTAGCTCTCAATTATCTATTGGATTATGAAACTAATATGCAAATAGAAATAACTGAATGTTAAGTTCCATGAAAGTTTGCAAGCTGAGAAAAGAAGGGAATAGCAGTAAACAAAATAGAACAACGAAAATAACCCTCTTTCAAGATTTGATTAATTTGAGGGGAGTAAATTAGACTACTCATTATCTTAAAATAACTAGATTACCCAACATGTCAGCTCCTGAGAACAAATTTGGAAACAAAACCTTGTGTTGGATCAAAACCTGCTTTTGTTGGCAAATTCAAGAAAAACCCAATTGGTATAAATTCCAACATGCTCAAAGCAACCATTTAAGAAACGGAGGGTTAGTGGAAATAAATGATAAACATAAACATCATCAATTAATTGAAGTTGAAACTTGATTCGTCATCTTGTAGCTGTGAAAGCCAACGTATATATCGTCATCCGATCGAGAAACACCAATAATTCAAACTCGTGAAGTCGATATTAATCAACAGGTAGCAAAGGATAAAGAGAAAAGAGAATCCAAAACCAAGCAAATTAAAGAAAGATTAGAAAATAGAAAGAACGTACCAGGATTAAGGAAGAAGATAGATGAATGAATTTCGGGAAATTCAGAGAGTAAAAAGAGAAGGAAAAAAGGAAAAGAGAATATATACGTTAGTGAAAAGAGAGGTGGGAAAGTTAAAGAGGCAAAAATAGGAAGAGAAAAGAACGGAGAGGAAACACGTGCGTGGAGCATAGCTCATCTATCACAGACTAGATCCATCTGTATGCTCGCCATTTCTATCTTTGAAGATGAGATTTTTAAATTTTTCTTAACTTCACAAAAAAAATTAAAATCACCCAAAAACCAAAAAAACAAAAACAAAAAGAAAATTCGTTTAGGGTTTAAAAATAGTAATGGCTTTCATACTTGTTCTTTCCCCTTTCGGGGTTTTTGACCACAAGATGTTTAAACCAGAAGAAGACATTTTTGACAGCTTGCCCACCCTTCCTTTTTTTTTTTTTTTTTTTTACAACGTCATTAGAGATAAGACAGACAATGACATAAAACAAATCAAATTATGGATTTGAAGAACTATATAAATGGTTCTTCTTTAATCATTCTATTAACCAAATTAACTTATTTCTAATCCATCATTTCAACCTCTCACAGAGTTTTGAAAATTTACAATTAAAAACAAATACAAGAAAGTTGTTCTTATAATATTTTATTAAGATTAGCTTTATATATATTTTTTTCTTAATAATTAATGGTGGGTATAATCAAAAGGCTGTGGGTTTCCTAATTTTTAAAGCGAATAAATAAAAAATTATTTACAGTTAAAAAGGAAAATAAGTAAAAAAAGGCGGCGTCCATTAAGGAAAGTTGTCTCTTCAACGTCCGTTAAGATGAGCGTTGACCGAAAGACATTTTTACCCTCATAACTTATTCAAATTACCAAAATAAACGTAGCGGAAACGCTCAACGGAGATTGGCAATTTGGTAAATAAATATGCATGTGACAGCAAAATGAAGGCCACGCGCGACGAACAAGAGGTTAAGTAAAATGCTGTCACCGTCAAACAGACAATTATGAAAAATATTTTTTCCCTTTAAAATAATGAAAACACTTTTGTTTCCTAATCCGTTATGGAGCTGGTCCACCTTTTTCTTTTTTTTAAAAAAAATTTTTTTTTTTAAAGAACATCGCGAAGGAATCTGCAACAAAATTAACAGTCCCAAACACGTATATATTTATATTCTTTTATACAGTTCATGTATGATAAATGTTAATATATAATAATAAATAATATGAGGAGGAATAGACAACGGATATAAAGTGGTTTCCTGGGTGTTGATCATCTATTCACACATAAATTATATATATAAAGAAAAAGAATTCCATACAATTCTCTACATACAGCTAGCTAGCAAAAATCTTCAACAAAGAAATATATATATATATAAGAAAATTAGAGTATCTAAGTCAAAAGGGTCCGTCTAGGATCAGTAATATTGATCCGCCAATGCTCATCACTAAACCCAGCTTCTCTTGCTTTCTTTCTATCCCAATCCAACTCGATCCTCCTCCGTTTCGTCAATCTACAATGTTTCTGCAAGTTCTCATCCATGGCGTCATGCAGCTTCCACCACCTTTCATGCGCCACGTCACTGGCATAAACTCGTTGATCATCAATGTCCCAGTTGCAATCATAGTCTCTGTAGCACAACCAAGGCTTTAAACCCAAATAATGAATCGAATAAAGCTTGGGCGGATCAGCCGCAAACAGATGGTTCTTAACGCTGGCCTCAACCGAAGTGTTAGCCCAGAAGTTCTTGAGAAAATTGACTCTCCGAGGCAACCTGTGCCACCAAACGAAAACCTCATTCAAAAACCCCTGGTCACCCCCGTTATACGAAACGATGTCGTCTTGCAGTTTCATCAGTAGTTTGAAAGTGCAGTTGGAGGGCTCGATCACCATAATGCCGGAGTTGAAAATCCAGACGTCGTTTCCGGTTGCTGACATTTGTGGGAAGTAAAAGAGGAGATCGAGGTTTCGGAGTACGATGATGTCGGAGTCAATGAAGATAACTTTATGGTAATCAGTGAGTTGCCAGAGTCTGAACTTGCTGTAGTTGTATTCGTTGTAGGAGTCTTTTTCTGCTCTGCGGTTACGGATTCTTTTGATGAGTCGGATGGTCCAACCGGCAGCGACCAGAGCTTGACGTTTGGCGTCGGTGATGGAGTTGTCGACGAGAATTAGAAGGTCGCGTTTGGTGCCGGTTTTTTGGAGGCTCTGGCCGAGAGTTATGGCACCACAAACATACGCTTCCGAGGAATGGAGAACCGTTGCATAGGCTTCTCTTCTAGGGTTTTTTACGGCGCTTTCGATCTTGGAAGTGTCGTAGACTTCGTGGATACCTGTAATTAATTATAACTTGATTAATTTAATTAATTTCTTCTTAATTCTCATAGACCAAGGTAAGAACCAAAGTTCTGAAATTTTCAGAAAGAATTATGCTACAATAATGTCTTAAGTAAATAATTATTTATAGTTCATCATTTTGATTTAGCTTGAAAGATGATATACAGCAATATATAGAAATGGGTTTGTATTGATCAATACAATCCAATATAATAATAAGGTATGTTGTGATCACCAAACATAGACTATATATATATATATATATATATATATATAATAACTTTCTAAATAATACGCACAGAAAATATGCCTATGATGATTAAAGATTAAATTGTGTGAATGTGAAGATTTGTTAGTACCTAATAATTGTAACCCGCATATTTTCTTGATTAATATTCTTTCCTTTATTTGAGACGACTTATGATTTTCACATCATCAAACACAACCAAACCTTATATTATAACAATATATTACTATAGTTTCTTCATTTTTAATACTATAACAATATATCTACAGAAAAAAATTATTTTGTTATTCAAGAGTATTCTTAAAAAAAATTATTATAAAAAAATTCAAAAAGTCAATTAATGGAGACCATATTAATTGTATTCTCCAAATATTTAATGCATAATAATCCCTGGTTAAAAGCAATTTATCATTAATTTTTGAGAAATAATTTTTTTTAATATTTATTAATAATTATTTATTTAAATAATTGGTATAATTCTTGAGTTTAATTATATTTCGTGTATTTTTGTTTAAAAAACTATTTTTTATTGTATTATAAGTAGTGTTATATATTATTTATTTGTTAATATATAAAATTTTTATTTAAAGAAAATTATTAAAATTTGAGGTAAGAAGAAACCTGTAGGAAAGTAAAAATTAATAGAAATGAAAAAAGGAAACAAACCTTGTCCCCACAAGGGTAGAGCCAAGTTGCAAGATCCAACCGGCAACATCAACTTCTGTTCCAACCTTGCGACGGCCGGCTGATACAACCACCAGTTACCTTCATGTCTGATCAGATCATCGCACCGGAAAATCTCCATCATCGGTCTGCACTTGCTCCACAACAACACTTTTGTCCTCCTATTCCAGTCTCTTTTCCCCTTGTTCACCGCCATTGTTGCCAGCACCAGGTGCATCTGCAGCCTAAAAACCTCCCTGGACCACCCTTCATCTGGGTACTTGCACGGCAACTTTGCTACTATTACGTCCATATCATCCTTATATATTCTCAACTCAGGCATTGGTATCTCCGGACACCATGGATTCTCATTGTCTTCCTCCTCGTCAATCCATTCTGGGAATAAATCTTTCCATTCCAAATTCTCTGATACTCTCTTGAAATGAATTTGTATAAGTTCTCCATAAACTTCCAATTCACTAACATCCACGTCTTCCATGTTAATCATCCCAATCTTTAATCCTCTTCCCATCTCGTTCATGAAGCTAGCCACCTCTAGCTTACTCAAATTACTCTTACGCTCTACAGCGTTGTCCATAATGGGGTTTCTCCCGTCAAACTCTGCCTGCATTTTAACTCCTCTCTCCACCTGAAAAACACAACATCTTCCTCTTACGACAATTCCTAAATATCAATATACGAATGAAAATGGGTTTTAGCTCACCTTACCTTGTGATGGCACTCGCGCAAAGAGCACCTAACAAGTGATGCAGCGTTGTAAAAGTATAAAGACGAAGATGGTCTGAGAAGAAGAGCAGCGTAGACAAGAAAGAAGAAAACAAGGAAAATGAGGTTGAGTCTGATGATCAATGCCTTGGAAGGAATATTGGCCTTGTTTATGATCATCTTCTCGAGGCTGACTGCACTATCACCCATGACCATTCTAATAAGATATGATTTAATTTAAAGCTGAACTGGGTTTATTCATGTTCTCGGCTGCAGATGAGTTATGTACATGTATGTACATATTCTAGCATATACCAGTACCCACCTCTTTATATATACATGCATAAATATAGACATAAGAGATCACGAGAGAAGTAAAAGAAGGGAAAAGGAAAATGGGAGCAACGAGGGAGGTACATGTGTCAAGAGGTTCCTTGTTTAGGATTTGCTTGGCTTGTGGACAAGAAGTTTTGAGGAAATAAAGCTTTTATTTCGTTTTCACTTTTCAGGCAGTTGCCTGCCTGTTGGTCCGGCTTGAATTTTATTTAAAAGAAACTCAAAATCTACAATTCCCCAATTGACCTTCTCCCTTCAACAACTACTCTACAGTCTATACTTGATTTTCTCTAATTCGTATACGCAATTTTATCCACACGTATATATATATATATACATCTAGCTTGCAGGTTCTTGTCTTATTGTGTTTTAATTATTTCAGAAGTAAATTTAAACACATGGCATTAATTATTAAAAATTGTCACTTTTTATTTATACAGAAAATTAGAAATGAAAGATACATAATATTTTTTTTAGTATATACTTTTTAAGTAAAATTCATTTAAGTTGTAATCAAAACACAAATGTTTTGACTGTCTGCATGTCATTAGATCAACCGTAGTCAAACTACATGGTCCAGTGAAATACCAACAACATCAAGAAGTGGGCATCTCCCATCTTTATCTTTATATGAGAACTCATTTTACCCAGCTGATTAATTTATATATATATATATATATATATCTTGCTTATTAATTTTCTCCTTTTGAGGTCTAAACTTACTTGGATGATATGTTCATCCACCAAGTGAGAGTATGAGATTTCTTTCTATGCCCTCCCGCCTCTTTCAAAGATGTCATAATTTAAAAGAACCAAAGAGATTGATTCAGTAAGTAACATATAATAAATAGAGGTTTGACCTAAAATAGTTTAAGTAGGGTAGTCATTTTGAGTATACATCTCACATTCTCAATGATAGTTCGTTTTATCTTTTCAATCACATTATTGTGTTGTCAGGTATTTATAACTGTGTTCTCATGTTTGTTATCATGTTTTGGACAATAGACTTCAAATTTTTTCTCTGTGTATTTACATATATTCTAATTCTAAATATATTTTAATAATTTTATAATTTTATAAAAATATAAACAAGAATTATTGTTATTTTTAATGAACAAATTGCACTGGGAACTATAACTTTGCATAAGCATTTTTTAGGTGTTTCATGTTGTCTACATAACTTTAACACAAGTCACTATATCAACCGGGACAATTAGTATATTAATATTAATAGTATATAGAAAACATAATAATGTTTTAATGAGTATTTTTAGGATAAAAGCATTTATGAATAAAAAAGGTTAAAATGGTAAAAGAGATTCATCGGGTCAAAGTAGACGAGGACGCCAACAACTCTGCGGATGGCCTGTCGACCTCCTCTACGTGCAAAGGTCACATTTGGCCGTTACCAGAAATCCACCAAAACTCAAATCATTAATTTATAATTCAAAACGTGATTTAAGTTGAGACATCACACCTCACCTAAAACATATTTCCACAGCTTATTATACGCACGCCCTATGACCTTTCGGTTTGGTGAACAGTCACCATTTCACTCACCCAATTCTTTACTCACGTTCCCAGTTTTTGTTTTAAGATTAATTACATGTTTTAAAATGGAAGCATGTTTTTTTTTAGAATCAACACCCTCCCTCGACGAGTTCTTACAATCGACAGAGGTCGAATTTACATGTCTGGTAACGCATTAAGCTGCCTCCTCTGTACCTAGAGGAAATTTAACCAATGAAAAACACATACTCGTTCCTGTATGCTTTCAACTTTTTCTGTACTCACATATAACATTCTTTTCTTTTCTTAACATGTTCAATCATTTGTTTAGCGATCATCTCTTTATTCTTTTGCAAAGAATACAAAATATAATACGTACTAGTCTTTTGAAATTTAAGCACGTAAGTAATTAGGCATTCTACTACTTCAAAGCATGTTTTTTCAACAAAAAAACAAATCCAAACAGAGTCTGAATCCCTCGAAGTATGAGGTGCGGGGGTCTGCAGGCTTGGAACCCTCGTTCATACTCACTATCATGAAATGATATGAGCACATTTACTTCATACTCACCAGTTGTTTCAGTAGTCTCTTTTTGTGATGCATGAATACCAGTTGCAAAAGACATCTGAAACCTTTTTCCCTCCAGTCTTTCAAAGTCATTCTCAAATTATATCATATTTGATGAATTTTAAACTTGCTAAATTCATCTTGAAATCGATTCGAATTCTAAAAGAATTGTAAACATAGAAATTTTGCCTTGAAAAAGGGAATTCCACATATTTTTAATTGCATTCATCTGCTCCAGGATAATACTCACAGCTGCAATAACAAGAGTGTATAGGAAAAACATGAGAACAAAAAGAAAACCAAGTGGTTGAGATCTCAATTTTATACGAACACTTAAATTTCTATCACATTATAAACTCATCCCAATAAATTTGTGGAATACCATACTAGATTTCCCAAGAAAGAGCAGGGTACAAAAAATCCAAGGAGGCAAAAAAAGCTTTTAAATGGAAAAATAAACCACAATGGCAAGCAGTTAAAACTCAGTCTAGTGTTGAAAAGGACAATAATCACAACTTCCTATTGTTGAGATTAAGTTTCCCCCAACTTCTAATTTTCCTTTGTAGTGCTTCATCAGATGCTGAAAAACAACTAGAAAATTCCAGACCAGCATTGACATGCTAGCATTTCATTGACTAAGTCCATTCATCTGCAACAGTATGTCTAAATAACAAAGTACTCATTAAAAACATCAAACTGTACAGTATAACAATTTCCAATGACCAGCATTGACATGCTAGCATTTCACTTACTTCTTCCACTTAAATGCGAGCCATTTATCTTGTATTAATTTCAATAAAAATGTATTCATCCTCATCAAGTTACCATACAGGCTGTTACTTTCCAAAATCTTTCTCCATTGCGAGAGAGAAAGGGTGTCAACAAGCAGGTAATTTATCATTTAGTGTTGATGACTGACCTGCTTTACCATGGAGATCGGAAGCAGAAAAAAAAAAGATATTCACTGTCTTCTGAAGCTCCACATCATCAGTAGAAGCAATATATCCATGATCTCATCCTTTGACCACCTCTTGGATGTGCTGGGAGTGACTTTTACCAGGCGGAATAAAAATCAGATCTCCCCAACCTGAGTTCCTCTCACTCATCTAGATAAAACCAAAGCAACTGATTCAGATTCTAATCCTTTTCTAATCAGAAATGTACTAAATCTAATCATGCTCATTACCTCCATTTTTCTCAGACATCTTCTAGACTTCCAACCTGTTCAACAGACTGAATTAGATAACAAATATTATACAGAGCGTAAAGTGCTGATAAAAGTTTAAAAAGAATAGATCAAAGTAAAATAAGAAACTCCTGGTGTTGTATACATAATTGCACTTGCATTTGTCAAATGAACACATCAGTTTATTGGTTTCATCTAAGGTACGAACAAACTAAACATGGTGGATATTAAGGCAGGAAATGCCCAATGTTTATCAGTTAAGTACAAAGAAAGATTTGAACCCATGCCAGTATATCACATATCTTTCAACAAAAAAAGAAGATTTCATTTGGAGGAGAAAAGGTACTGAGGGGATATCACTCATATACAAGATAGTGAGCCTCTGGAGAGAGTAGAAAACAGAATTAGTCAAATATCAACAAAGTTCACTAGGTCTTCTTCATTGAAGAGAGGACGACTTTTAAACAAAATACATAAAGCTCGGTACAAAAGATTACTGACTCTTAAGATACAATTAAGAGAATATAAATAAAAGAGAAATGCCACTATAACCACGTGAGCGTGCAATTTGGATCGAATTTTGTGAAACTCTGAATTATTTTCCTTTAAATTTCATTATCTTGTTTATCAAATCATTTACTTATACTTTAGATACTCAGAGGCCTAGATAGAAAGAGGGCACTATATCTTCTTCATTGAGGAGAGGATGGCCCTTAAATGAAATACATAAAGGTTAGAACCAAAGATCACGGATTCTAGAAGATTCTATCAAGGTAATAAAAATAAAAGAGCAATTCCAGTATAACCACATAAACATGCAATCCGCATCGAGTTTGCAAAACCTGTGAATTACTTATTTTGAGAAGTTTCTTATCTTGTTTACCAAATCACTTATTTTCGTACTTAAATACTATATGCATAAATAATGAAATCTGTGTAGAAACATGATGTGAAAGGCAACAGCTTCACTTCATAAAGGAAACATTTTTAATTTTCATTAAATTAAAAAACACTACTATATAATAACATGTACGGTGGTGGATGTATATGTTGAACTTAAATATAAATAAAAACAGTTTTCTAGAAGATGTTGGACACAGCTTTTTTAATTGTTTCGTTTCAACTCATGTTACATTTTTATTCCCATTTTCCAAATATGATTTTCATGTTTAACTATCACATGTTTGTACTAATAAAGACATACCAATTTAGAAATGAAATTAGAAAGTCTTTTCACCTACCAAATAGAGTATACAATTCTTTGAAATGAGAACATTGAAACTATTATCGTCACTATTACATTGACTTCTAATTCGATTTAAAAATTGGGAATAGCACAGTTGAAAAGAAGTGTCACTTCTCCCTCCACAAACTTTTTAGTCCATCGCTACCCTCCCTTCAACAAATGAGATAAAATTTTCATATATTGCATAGATCTTCTGTACAGTAATTATTCTTTGACCACTTAAATTTTATAGTCCAAATGTTTAAAAAGCTGCAAAAAGAATGGATATGACGCTAAAGTAATACCATAATATGCTGTGAAACACCCAGTCCTCTTGATACCCTTGAGGACTTCAAGAGTTCCTTTTCTATATCTTCCTGCATGGGGGAAAGAGAGGGAAGAGAAGGGAAAATCAATATGTTGTGCTTCTAAGCTGTTTCTTCTAAAATATTGTTCCAAAAATAAAACAGCTTAAGAAAAGGTGATTTATGGGACAAATGAACCTTATTGAAATATACTGGGCAGTAACGCTTATTTTTCTTCTTCACTACCAGAAGATCTGACTGCAAACACAGTGATAAGGAAGTAAGAAACCATATAGATCTTTTGGTACATTGGCAAATGGTGCAGCAGTTTGTACCAATGCACCTTAAAAAGAAAAGGCTCATCTCAAACTATTTTCAAATTGCTAGAGGAAAATAAGAAATATAAGAAGTCTAACCATTCAAATAAAATGAATTCAGGGAATAGTTTCTAATTTCTTTTGTAGAAAAGTAAATAGGTAATGGAGTCCCAACATTTTTTTTTTTGGAGAAGTATTGAAATCTGACACTGTTATTAAATCTTCTTTCATAAACTATTTTTCAACTAAATGAATTGCAAGCATTCAAACACAATCATAAATCACTTAACCCCTCTATGCAAGTATTTGCATGTAAGTGATCATGCATGCATAAGCATATGTAAAAGCTGTTCTTTTTGTAAGTACAAGTAATGATCATGCCATCTGAAGGATAGTTATTTTCCGGTTTGAAGCACCAGCATTTACTCAACATGTTAACTGTATACCTGAAAAACAGGAACTCCATCAAACCCACTATTGATATCTGCAGATTTCAGCTGATAGACAAAGGAAAATATTGTCAGTTTGATCTCATAATTGCTCAATCTGAATTGTAGGATAACTAATAAACTTATCAACTTTCAAAGTAAAATCATGAACAATTTCTTAATTCTTGTTAATTATTTAATGAAGACTAAATTAACAGTCAATACAAGACAATATGAAGAACTAACCTCCAATGCATTCTTTATTTGAACAGGATCAGGCAGGAAACGAAATGCAATACCTTCAACCTTCAACGAGTATACCTATAAGATGCACAGAAAGAGAAACTTTCAACATTCATTTGGTACGGCTCCATATTAAGATGCACAGAGACCAAATTGAGAGTTAACACGAGAAAATAAGAATGTAAGTGAGCTTAAAGACCTTACCTGGTCAAGACTAACGGGAACAACCTTAGCATTACTCCTCAATTCTCTCCTTCGCAACCGAACCTGAAGACCCAATGCCACGTAACAACAAAAGTCAAACACATACACTGGCACGCACAGAAAACACACGAGTTTAAACTTCCCCTCTTTTTCCATTCCTTTCCTTACTCTTACTGGAAAACACCAACCTGAGCAAGAAAGGCCTCCGCATCCTCTTGTCGAAAGCAAAGCAAACTGATGGATTTGACTCCATTGGGATCCGACACGAGCACGAACTCATTATTCGAGTTACTCACGGTGTATACGGGAGTGCCAGCAAGGGCTTTGGCAACTTGCTCCGAGCTGAGTGTTGCGACGGCAGCTTGCTTCGGCTGTGCAAGTGAAGCGAAGGGAGGCCGAAAAGCGGGACGCTGAAGCCAGTTAACAGCCGGAAACGGTGAGAAGTTTCCGGCTAGGGATCCGGCGAGCCGCTTGGTTTCGTCGATTCGGCTTGAAAGCTCCGTACCAAGTCGGTGGGAATGGTGATTGATGAATGTTGGGAGTGAGGAGAGAGGATTGAAGGAAAATGCGGGCTTTGGTAACTCCATTTTTGTGAATTGGGAAGAGGAACATGTCGAGTTTGGGGTCGGTGTTAAGAGTTAGACAGAGACTCGTAAAAATGGGCCTGGACTTTAGCGTATTCCACTTGGGCTTTGATAAAGCCCAATGGGAAATTATAGTGTTGGAATTTTTAATGCGGCTTATTTTTAGCACGTAATAGTATTTATAATTTGATCATTAGTAAGATAATATAGTATTATCAATTTAAACACAGATTATTTAAATATTAAAAGTTTTGGCATTAGCATTAATGCACAGGATCTTTTGAGAAGTTTTCGTGTTTCGCTTATCTTTTAAAATATTTTAAAAAGTTTTACCACGTAAATAATTTATATTAAAATTTCTTTGGCTTAAAAACTTTATTAAATTTTTAAATTGTTTAAATTATTTTCAATATTCAATTTTTATATATATTCTTACGTGATGTAAATGATATTTTTATTTTTAAAAATAAATTTTATTTTAATCACAAATAAAATTACTATAAACATAAAAATATCTTAGTAGAGAAATATCTAAAATAATTATAATAAAGTATAGATGCAATTCAAATTTAAAAGTTAGATTATCACGGGATCATTTATACATATATATAAATATAAGTGTTCCCTTAACATACTACATTACATGTCGTGGAGCCCATATAGATATAAATAGATTTGAGCATATATAAACATATACATATATATATATATATATATGTATATATCCCTTGGTGCATGGCAAGTGCATGAGGAAATAAAAGGATTCTAGTTATATATCCATCATTCATTGAAAGATAAGCAAGAATATTTTGAAAAAGAAAGGTTTGACGTTGATAACATCTATAAATAGCCTTGTTCATTTGCACTGTAAGATCGTACCAACAAAAACAAAAACAAAAACAATATTATAAAATTTGTCTGAAGAATTAAGTAAAGATGCCTCATATGGTGGGGAAGAAAGCACCATCGCCACCCAAACGCCCAACTGAGGAGGACATAAAGGCCGCTTTGATGAAATTTGATTCCAATGGTGATCATCGTCTGAGTAAAGAAGAGTTAAAGAAAGCTTTCTCAAACTTGGGCGCCTTGGTTCCTGGATTCAGATCTTGGCGTGGAATGAAGCTTGCTGATGATGATGGAGATGGATTCGTCGATGAAAATGAGCTTCCTAAACTTATCAAATACGTTTCTTCTCTTGGATACGCCATTAAGGCCTAGGACTTATAAGTTCTATCCGCACCGTTCTTCCAAACTCATCAATAAGCCAATAATATATCCCGCATCCTTTATTTTATATATATATATATATATATATATGTTGAATATCTTCTCTTATTTTTGTTACTTTCTGCTGTCTAATGGAAAGTTTCTACCTTCTTTCTACTCTCTCTCTCTCTCTCTCTCTATATATATATATATGTATATTTATATACCTTGAATTTCTTCTCTTATTTTTATTCTACTTCAAAGTTTCTTTCTACTTCCAGTATACCACACATACCCACAAAAATATATGGATAGTTCATACACCTTCATAATATATTATATTTTTGACGATGATTTTTCTAAACTCAATACATTATATTAACCAAATATATTTCTTCAATTTGGATGATATTTCAATTTGGATTATCTATTCAAAATCTTACTCGACCCAAAAATTAATATATAGCTAAGATGACTGAGTACAAAATTTCTTACCGAATAAATTTTTTTGAATAAGACGTATTTAATAATGAGCAAACACTGTCAATTTTAAATAGATAAAAGCATCTTATGCGAAAAAATATTACAAATTTCTTACTTGAATATATGTAATTTAGTTCTTATAACAAGAAGTACGTATATTTTAGATAATTACAAAAGCTTCAACTTGACAATTGTGTTATAATGTGATAAAACTTTTTTTTTTAAATGAAATTTGATATATCTAAAATAAGGTAAACTTCATTCATTTTTTCTCATCTTAAAGTAAGGATCTTATATTTTGTATTATAATTAGGGATAGTAATAGATCAAGTTCATAAGGAATTTTTGTAAAATTTGAATCTAATTCATAATTATAATACATAAACTCAGAATCTACTCTAAACTCAGTGTTGATTCAAATATATATATATATATATATATACACACACACACACACATGTTTTGTTCTTAATTCAAAATACAGGTTTGATGGGTCACAATTTTTTTTTTTTGGTTCATCTCTAATTGTGATGGATTTCATTTATACTTTCTTACATATAGACAATAATGCTTAAATGATTTCTATTAACTGCTTTCTCAAATTTAAAATAATTATAAATATAAATAACGTCATAAAATTATAAACTATGAAATTTTTTTCAATGAACATTAAAAAAGTGTAATCTTTAAGAACAAATAAAATTTTGAATGGAGATTATTTGAATATAATATTCTATGAGTGAGTACGAATCATATCAGTTTAATATTAATATAAAATTTTTTGTCACATCAACTATTACTTGATACCAAATGTATTGGCCAATACCTAATGATATTTTTGTACTTTAACTATGATAAGATAAATTAAGATTTTTTTCATATCATACTTTAATTCATTCTCCATCTTAAATCGTGCTTGAGATTTTTTAATTATGAATGCTTTAAAACTGAAGTGTCAACTTGCCTCATTAAAATGATACCGTGGAAGATGATACATATTTTATAAAAAAAATTTAATTATGATATCTCAATTTAATCTTGTTAAAATAAAATAAATAATAATAATAGTGATGATAATAATATCTTGATAATTCTAATTGTGATATTAATTTTTAATTAGTTACGTGATTGTCTTAATCAAACTAATCTTTTAATTGGATTACCGAATCTTTTGACATGACACATTAAAAACATTGAAATCCATGCAATAATTCCATTTAAGCATTAATGCATTCAAATTAAGGCCGACACTCCAAGTGCACAATAATAAGGTATAAATACAATCCAAAGATAAAAGTAAGTTGTAACTTAGTTTACTTGTTAAATTGATGATTATCAAGTGATCACATATATATATATGTATATGTATATACACACACCCATGTAAGTGTTCCCTTAACACACTTTAATCAGTAATGGAACACATATTACATGCTGTGGAGCCCAAGTAGATATAAATAGATTTGAGCATATATATATATATATACCCATTGGCGCACGGCCAGTGCATGAGGAAGTAAAAAGATTCTAGCTATATATCCATCAACCATTTGAAGATAAGCGAGAATATTTTGAATGAGAAAGATTAACTTGCAAAAGATCTATAAATAGCCTTGTTGATTTGCTTTGTAAGATCATAGCAACAAAAACAAAATCAATAGTATAAAATTTGTTTGAAGAATTAGTTTAAGATGCCTCATATAATTGGGAAGGGAGCACCAGCGCCACTCAAATGCCCAACTGAGGAGAACATAAAGGCTGCCTTGATGAAATTTGATTCCAATGGCGACCAACGTTTGAGTACAGAAGAGTTAAAGATTGCTTTCTTGAACTTGGGTGCCTTAGTTCCTGGATTCAGAGCTTGGCGTGGAATGAAGTTTGCTGATGGCGACGGAGATGGCTTCGTCGATGAAAATGAGCTTCCAAAACTAATCAAATACGTTTCTTCTCTTGGATACACCATTAAGGCCTAGCAAACTTATAAGTTACATCCGCACCCTTCTTCCAAACTCATCAATAAGCCAATAATATATCTCCCACCCTTTATTTTATATATATATATATATAATGAATGTTTTCTCTTGTTTTTGTTACTTCCTGCTGTCTAATGGAAAGTTTCTAATTTCTCTCTACTCCATATATATATATATATATATATATGTGTGTGTGTGTGTATTTGTATACGTTGAATTTCTTCTCCTGTTTTTATTCTACTTGAAAGTTTCTACTTCTTCTATATCACAATCAACCACACAGACATATTCATGGGAGGGTTCGTTCAACTCCTCTAAAAAGATGAGTGCAATTTTTCTTACTGACAAAACCCATATTTAAAAATGTACAAACACCCAAAATTTTAAATAAATAAAAGCATCTTATATCTGAAAAAAAAAATATATTATCAATTTAATTCGTATAATTAATGGTATATATATTTAAAATAACTATAAAAACATCATATTAAACTGTGATAAGTTTGAGAGCTCATACCAGAACTAATGTCTATTCCCAAAATAATGAATTTTACTTCTCATTTCCTAATTAATTATCTGTGTACTAAAGTTTTATATCTTATACCAAATGTAATAATTTTTCTTTAAATCAATATATTCTTTATTTATTTTTCCTCTTATAACTTTATGAGGAAAAAAAGCTTTTATTTTTTATATTAAGTGCATTTAATGAATTTTTTTTTTTTAAAAAAAAGATAAACTTTATTCAATCTTAAACTAAATATTTTATATTTGATATCGTAATTAGGAATAACAGCAGGTCGAATTCAAAGCGGGCCTAGATATAGAGGATCCAGTCCCTAAGGGGTTAAATAGACGCCGTTTCAATATAATTCAACAAAAAAAAAAAAAACTAACAGCCTTAACAGGAGCCAATGCTAACAGAAGAAGCCCGAACGGCACCGTTCAGTTCGATTCTTTTAATTTGCTACAAAACGACGTCGTTTTGGAGAAACCTTTCAATCGGACGCAAGAGTTTGGGGAGACTCGCTTTTGTCTTCTTCCACCAGATGGAAGGTGGTGGCTGAGCCATGTGAAGGGGAAGATTTCTTTTAAGGCTTGGCATGGCATGTGCAGAGGAGAAATTCGCGTGAGCTGAGTTGATGAAGGAAAATGGGGAAAACACTGAAGTGGGACATGCAAGAGAGGAATACTCGACCTGTTACGACGCTGCCCTGGCGATGGAGGAAAGAAAATGGAATGAAAGCCAAACGAAAGAGAGAAAGGAACACACTAAGGGAACGAACAACAAAGGAATAAATGAAAATTAAAGAAAAAGAGAAATGAAAACCTTCAAATTAAATTGAAGTTAAAATTTGAACACCAACTCGTAGATTTTTTAAATCCTTTTTCTTGAAAAGAAAAGCAATTGTTTTGTAGATTCACATCTAAAATTTGAAAGATAAAACATGAATTATATTGATGACGAATACCAACTTGTATATCTTTCATTCAAGCACAAATGGTCTTTCTTAAAAAGCACTTATATGTCAACATAAATACTTTGTTACAACAAATATGACTTATGTATATATAAAAGAAACCAACTAACATATGTAGCATTATACTGGGTTTGGCCTCTAGTCAAGCATATAATTTGGAGACTCTACAAAGACATATTAGTAGTGCAAATTAGGTTGAATGAAAAAGGTGTCCAAGTCAACCCTATATGTTTGATGCATGGGGAAGCGTTATAGACCATCGATCATATCTTTCACGTATGTGTATCTGTCTTAGTGTTATGGAGGGGTAAGCCTTTGGGTAGAGGATTTGTTTTAGGGGATGCTTGTTCAAGTAAAGGCATCGATCCACCAATGAGTATGGTCTCCTCAGTCAAATGGAGTTTTACAAATTGAAATTTGATGCTTCAATTAATCGATATGGTTGAATATATCTCGATTGCTTTAGTTAAGTTATATGTATAGAATATAAGGATAATTTTAACTCATAATTTAGTAAAAATCGCAGAAAGTGCAAAACATTGTTAAATTGGTTGAAAATCACTTAATACTTAAATTACTACGTTAATTTAGTGAAGTAAATTTTTATATTCGATTTTTATAAATTTTATAATCAAATTACAAACTTGTTTTTTTTTTAGAAAGAGTTTATAATACTTTAGGATTGTATTTTCTTTTTTTTACAAAAAAATCCTACTTATATTATTATTTAAGTAAATTTATTTGAATCACTCATTCTTAAAAATCGCATATTGAAATAGATAGTGACAATTAATTTATTTATTCGTGTCTACAAAATTAAACCGAAAAAAATGATATCTTTATAATCGAATAGAATCAAATTAAATCAAACAAAAAAATACAAAAACCGAAAGGTGGTGATGAAAGAATCTTACAAGATAACAACAACTCGGTGCACCTTTAATTATTCTCCACCCAAAGGATTCTCCTACATGTCTATATCATCTCTTGTACGTAATTATTATATAGAAATTGTTAAGTTAAAAGTAAAAACTGTTATATACTATGTGAGAACTGTTCTAGAAGGTTTATTTTTAATTAATTAATTGCTTAAATAAGATTTGAGCGATTAATTTTCTTGGAATTTCTTTTCGGGATGGAGTAATATTGTTGAGGACGCAATGAATGATGCCACCTCCTCTCCACTTGTTCCAACAAGTAACTCAAGCATCTGCTTTTTCTAAGATTCTCACTTCACAAAACTAATCTCTACTTTTTATTCTTTCCAACTTCGACAAATAACATCAAACGGCGACGTTTCTTTTCTAATTCAGATTATATAATTAATTACAAATTACAATAATATTTTAAAATATTATTATTATTATTTTTTTTCTAAATTTTTAAATTACTTCCCTCGTATACTAAATAATACTTTATTTAATAGAGATAAAAACACGTAATTTCACTTTATCTCTAATATTTAACACTTAATAATACTTTATTTATATATTTTTTATTAAATAATTATTTTATAATTAATGTATGCGTGTAATAAAATTTAAACTTATCTTCTAGAGACTTCCGCTTAGAAATTTAGAAAGTAACGTTGATGCATGCACTTGAGGATGGTTATATAAAGACTTGCGCCATGCAAGTATACAGCAAATCAGGCAAAGATTAGATAAGCAAAGAAAAGAGAGAGAGAATTAAGGAAGAGACGAAGAAGAAATGGCTCGTTTGGCAAGAAGACGGGCACTGATAAGCCAAAACGTGAAGATTGACGAGTTGAAGATGATGTTCGAAGGGTTGGCTACGAACGACGACAAAACTATAAACAAGGAAGAGCTGAAGCAGCTGTTCGACGATCTGGGTGCTCTTACTCCAAGTTTCATGGCTGAACGTGCCATTGCCTACGGCAGTAAAAAGGGAGAAAACAAAATCTCCTTCGAAGAGCTCAAAGATCTCCTAATTCAAGCTCCCCAGTTTGGCATTTCCATTAAAACTTAAACTCATATATATACATATATAGGCCCTCATCCTCTATCCGTCCACCCATCCGTCCGTCCATCTTCTACTACCCGCGCACATTTGTACGAAACTAAACTATTAATTATTTTCATCTACCTTTTACCATCCATACTTAATTCTCCCCTGCTCATGCATTACTTATATAATAAACAGATCTTCGTACACTCTCCTCCAACTACGTAGCTTTATTTACGTATATATGTGATTTCCGCTGTAATAATGTAAAAACAAGGAGCTGAAGGTCACGTTACTGGCTCCCAGACCACCTGATGATCATATATGTGTCTTTGTATTTTCTTAATTTTGCAAGTAAAAAAATAAAAAAATAAAAACTACATCTATTTATATTCATGTGCGCCTGATCAAATTTATTATCCTGATATTCTTGCGATTTACTTTCGAGGGGGTTATAATAAACAGCATCTTATTAGGTTGGTTGAATTTGATGAACGATAATCAGAGTTCTACTTGGGTAAAATCTCATCTTGATCTCGAATAATTTGATTGAGATGCAGGACAATTGTTAAGCGTTTATCAGAATTAATTGGGTGTTTATTTTGATTACTAAAAGCTAGCACAAATTTGAGTTATAATTAGATTGTTCATTGTACTCTCATCAGCTATAGAATCTAGTGTTTGGAATGGAATTCCTTTCCATCAAAACCAGATTTCAAGTAGAAACTTCAATTTACAGATGATAAATGTATCAAATTGTCCGTAATCCCTTGTGGCTGCTGTTCTTCATCCTTGTTCTTTCCTCTATTTTCTCTAATTAAACCCCCTTCTTGTGCCGTCTTAAACAAACCAACCGCCTCCTGAACGAAACGCAAAATATTTAGTAAAAATTTTCTAGAAATTAAATGATTGGTTTGACGAGACGAGCGTGTATAGGAAAAGTATTTACGAAAAGTTCACGAAGAAGATAATCATATTGAGATGAAAATTCTGGTTATGTGCGGAGGAGAAATACAATCCTATAAATTTGATGTTCATATATGTGTGTGAAGTCCCCATAAAATGGTCGACCATTTCAATCCAAAGGAAATTTTTCGAAGAAGAGAATTTGATATTGCTTTGGTGGAAAGGATTTCAATAAGCTCGCAGACCACAAAATCTAAATTTCAGATAAAAGTGGAGTTTTGAGCTGGAGAGAACATCTATTTGCCTAACCTGGCCTAAAAGATAATTTATAAGAAGAAAATAATCAAAATAATTTTGCCAACTTAGCCTTTAAGCCGACTGTTGGGTGGATCAAAAAACGCTTGGAAAAAAATTAGACATATAAATATGTATATTTCATTTTCTTCCATTTCCTTCCTGTCACTTCTTTTAATTATTTCCATGGAAATGGCATGAGAAAAAACCTAAAGCAACGTTGTTAGGCAGTAAAGTAATCAACAAAGAAAAAGCAAGACGTTGAACACCGCGTTTATTTTAGGGGAAACACCACGTTTATTTAGCAACTTCAGATAAAAAAAAAAATTGAGATTCTTATTCTGCACTAACACTAATTAGTTTTTATATTCACTAATGTGTTGTAAAGGAGGTAAAGATCAACACTATAAGTTGAGAATCCTCAACACCTTCAAGACCATCTCCTTGTGTGGAAATTAGATACAGTCTTCAAGTTCTGATCAGGTTAGCTATGGCAATCAAAACAAGGAACATTTCGGTAGATGGAAAACGTGAAATGTCTCTAGATGAGTTCAAGAGATGGTTAAAGAAATTTGATACAAATCAAGATGGGCAGATTAGCAGAGAAGAGCTCAGAGACGCCATCCGGTTTGCAGGAGGATGGTTTGCTAGTTTGAAGAGCAAGCGTGGAGTAAGGTCAGTCGATGCCAACGGCAATGGCTCTATCGATGAAAATGAGATAAAAGACCTTGCAGAGTTTGCGGAGAAGCACTTGAACGTGAGAATTTTGCATTTATGGTAACCAGGATGCTGTAATTCTTCTCTTCATTTTCCTTCACTTCTTTCTTTTCCTCCTAATATTTCCTTTGCTGTTACATGAACTGTGCATTTGAACTGTAATTGGAGAATAAATTCAAATGAAATACTTTGAATGAACTTATCCGTAATTTTTTTGCAATTTACAGGGGGGAAGGCTTGTAATGTTCTGTTAGTCGTTTTGCACAACCAATACACAGCAACCAGGTTTCACCAATGAACTAATGATGACAAATTTTCTCCATTCACAAACTATCTACACTATATGGCTTTCCTTCCAGCCATGCCTATTTCCTGCACCAGATTCCCAATAAACACTTAGATCATTGTTCATGGGATACCTGATCACACTGTAAAATAATATAAATTGACCTGACTTTGAAGCAGGACATATGTTAAATAAAACAAAATCTTTATCAAGTACTTCCAGGGCGTTGAGATATATCCCAGCACAAATAGGTGGAACTTCTACCATACCCAAGCTACACCTGAAATTTGTCAGTAAAATAGAATTATGAATGAAACTTGGAAAAAGATAACCAAATAGGATTTAGAAAAATGCAGATGATTAAACAGAAAGTTTTGATTGATAGCCCTTTGCCGTTTTATATTATCTGCGTTAGTATAAGAATCTATTCAAAATTCACCCTTCACAGTTTTTGTAGTAGTATCTCAGAATAACTCCTGTGGTGTTCTTGTTCTTAAGAATTGATGGAAGGATTAAACATCATAGAACTACTCTAAGTTTCTACAACATGTGAAAGAACTATGCAGAACTGAAACTATACCTGCCTGGTTACAAGCATGGCAAACATCAAACATTTGTGCATCCCTAGGATCAAGCATCGAACTTTTGGATGACCCTTCAAATATCAATAACAGGAGGAGGTAGCTTCCAGAAATTCCACGAATTGAAATCCTCCTATAATGAAAAAAGATTTTTTTTTTTTTGAGTGCGAAAAAAAAAAGATTTAATAAGGAAAAACAGAAGATCAGAAAAAAATGAGTCACTCCAGAAAAGAACTCAAGAAAACATATAATTCTTTAAGTGTCAATCATATAGATGCCAAAGGTAAGAAGGTTTGCTAAAAATTACGACTACTGATAGGCACAACAACAATGGGATTGCAAAAGGTCGCAGGCAAAAGAGAGGATGCATAATAAAACCTGCTCAGATGTGGTCATGGCTGGAAACATGCCGTTAACAAGTGCATGAAGTGAAGTATATGATTTTGTGTCAACGCGGCGGTGCACAGCAACCTCACCCTGCAAACATAAAGCATCAGGAAAAAACCCCTTAAATGACATCAATATTTTGGAATCCAGGTTCCTGTACATTTCACGCATCAAGTTCTTACCTACCTTGGGATTAATAATAAATATTTTTCCCCTTGGGATCCCAACCTTCAGATAGCTGATTTCATCAGTATCTCTGTTTCCAAAACCGGCATAGAATGGATTGCAATCAGATGGAAACAATGCTCTGATATCCTGGATATTGAAAGAATTAAAGCCCTCAAGAACTGAAATAATTCTAACCTTCAAGATATAGGAAACATAATCCAAAAAAATAAACACATTTGATCTATTTCATAGAAGAGAAAAAGAGCTGATAAAATTAGAACAACAGATCTGAGAATAGATTTGTAAGAAATAAGGGCAGCAGAAAGAAAGAGAAGGTGCAGAAGGGACAGAAGGGGGAAAGAAGGGTAGAGAGGAGCAAAAAGAGTGTGTGGGAAGGTGGAAAAAAGAGAAATTAGAAGTTCCGGGAGAATGAGGAAGAAACAAAAGGAAGAAAGAAGAAAAGAAACCATCCTTTCAGAAGTCCATCCTTTCCAAGTGAAAGAAAATCTTGAAAGCTAGCAAATACAGTTCATGCGTTGCAAAAAGCAAAGACCCAGTTCAAAGATGGAATATGATGTATTAGCACATATAGCAAATATTTACATAAAAACAGAGATACCATATTGCTGAGCCTAGTATATCGAATAGACATGGAAAGGCATGGAACTAACCTCCAAGCATCCTATTTTAAATTCATGAGGAGCTCTTCTGATTACTGAAAAAAAAAGGATTGATTTAGCCCACAAATTGTAATTTGAAAAGGAACAGATTATGTATATACAACCAATCCTCAATGCCTCCAAGAGTTACAACAGTAGATATCAAATGATACAATTTTAACTCCTTTAACTCTGAATTCTAGCTATCATTTAGTTTCAATTAAAAAATGAAGCGATTCAAAGAATTTAAAAAATATGCTCACAGATGACTATGCAATAAACCATAAAGGACTTCATTGTTTAGTTAATTTCCAGAGCTCCTTTCACTAAGGAAAGGTAGAGAGAGGTTTAATTCCCTCTTCATTTTCTCCAAAACGATTCCTAGAAGAAGATTGACACAGCTAATTTATAGTAATATCGACATAAAAATTAGAGAATACAACAGTTTCATGCAGTTTAACCATTTGTCAAACTGAGACCTCTTTTTTTTCGGTTTTAATTCAGTACCCAAGTTCACTGCTTTATACATAGAGATCAGTACCCAAGTTCACTGCTTTATACATAGAGATTGAGACTAAATAGCCTGGTGAATGAATATAAGGTTGTTAAAGAGAAAATAAATCGGGGTGTTAGAAATGAAGTAAATTAGACTAAAGGGCAAAATTACACCATTTGTAATTCATTATTTATTTCCTTTTCCATCTAAAAAAACCTGTACGTATAGTGCTGTAATATTCAATTGAATACATATTAAACAAAAAACTATTTTTAACATGATGTCAGAGCTTTAAATTAAAAGATTTATAAACTATTTTACAAATCTTATTCAACATTCGTTGTCAAAAAAAAAACCTAAAAGAGATCAGCCTTCAAAGCCAGCCACCACCCTCCTGCTCCCAGCAACCACAGAC